TTTAACTTAGTGTTTGGTCCCAGCTGATGTTATTACTGGCTGAGTCAGATCCAAACAGAAATCTGGCTGGATAAATCATATTTTGTTTTTATTTTGGTTTACACAAGGTGGTGTCTCACTGGAACATAAGCACGCAATATTGCAGATTTGGATTTAACAATAAAGCAGGGATTTATTCTGCAAAAGAAATGAAGGTAATATAGAATAAATTAAACTATTTACAGGTCACATGTTTAAATATTTTGAAACACATGGTAAAAATGTGTTTCCATTAACCACAGCAGCATCCCATTACAGCACTCAAACACTAAAGAGAGTGCCCTTCCCTATCCTGCACAGGGTTTGACTCAGCTGTGGTTTCAATTCCTGATAGTGACAATCTGATAGCTTCTTCCTTTTTTCATCTTATGCATAAACCTAAACTTTTATTTTTCATTTACAGAACTCAGAGTTTTAGCCAAACACTTCTGGTCTGGAACTTTAATTGAACTCCTTACACTGAGGCGTTGATCATACTTTTTAACAATTGGTCATAATTATTTTTAACTATTCTAAACTTCCTTCTTCCTTTCTCAGGAACAACTACAGTATATCAAATATCCAGCTTCAGCTAAAAACTTCCCTAACTAAAATTAGAAATAGGCTTCTTTTTCTCCCAAGCTATGGGTATTTACCCCAAGTACTAAACAAGAAACTCCCAAATCTTCTGTCTGAAAGCAAAATGCATAGCCCTGTTTACTCAAAAACTCTCCCAATGTAAACAAATTCCCATTAGCCTCCAAAGCTCCCTCTCACAGTGTTTTTTTTAGGTAAGTCACCATGGCTACAGAAATATCATTATTAATAATTAAAGCCTTTCAGTCTGACAGAAAACCCATATGCCACCAGTTCAAATTCAAAAACTCCAAATGCAAAAATAAATGACCTTACATTAAAATATATCACCTTACATTAAATTAGTCAACACGAATATACATGCAATATACATTTTCAGCTTTATTACTTTAACTCCGTGTAGCCTGAAGCCAGTCCCTCAAAGGTGAGATTTATTCCAGGATTATGATTGAGGGGACATCGTGATGTGATATAGTTGATTGATGAAAGTTGGGAAATTGTGAAACAAATATATTAAGAGGATTACTTACAGTATGAGCTGCTTAGACTGAATGGTTTGTTTCTGTGGTATATCCCATATAATCCTCAAAGGGCACAGATAGACTGCCCATTCAGAATGAAGAGGTTGTAAATGGCTTCTCCTTGTCCCCTCCACTTCCTCCTCCCTACTGTGTACAGCTTACCTCCTTTGCAGCCTTAGCTCCATCACTCTGTGCTGCAAACTAAAACCTAAGTTATAACTGTTACTGATTTCTGTGGATATGTTACTAACTCCTCTGATCTGCCTTTCAACAGGCAGCAGCATTCCTTTCCAAATCCAAAAAAGTCATCAAACACCTCCAAGATCATGCCACAGTATGTCCATGACTTTGCTAAAGTAATAAAATAACTTTAACTACTTCACCAGAAGATTGAATGGCTGGCCTTTTAAATAATACTAATTGGGGCACCACTTGTGTGACTAAACATAGGTTTCAACTGTGATTGATTGGGAAAGCGGCTCAACTGAATGTGCATGACACAAGTTTGTAGCATGTATGTCAAATCAACCTCAGAGAATGTTTTGTCATCACAATCTATCCATTGTCAAAGCCTCTAATATACATACAACATGCCCGTGCTAGCAACTTCTCAATATGGACCTCTGGGCGGTCTGTGCTGAAAGAAGCCAGAAACACTTCTTCTCCAGTTCTGAGGGCCTCTGCTTTCCATAGTGGAACCGGATTTTGTGGCTAACATGTTTTCTGCTCTGTACATCTCTGCTTTTGCTCCCAGCAATCAATTGAGTTGTCGGACTGAGTCAGGTTTGTCCCCTTGTTACTTCTATCTCTGTGAATATATAGCTGGCTACTCCTTGAATGGATTATGTAAACTAGTACTCATAATATAGAGCATTACAAAACCAAGCAAAATTACCATTACTCTGTGGCATCAGAGCCAATAAACAAAGAAGCATTAATTATTGATAGGATTTTATGTCATTTACAGCAGTGAGTTGAAAGGTTCGTAGTTCTTATGAATAGCTGGTAGACAGTCAGAAGTTATTAGACACACTTTGCAGACTATTTTGGTGAAGGGGTGAAAACAGGCACAAAGTGGTTGCTATGCTGATAAGACATGCTTGCTTAGCAAAGTTTTGATCTTAATGGCTGATTACTACAATTTGAACTTGCTCAGAGGAACTAAAGGAAACACCTGCAGCTTTACCATTCAAAATGGTGCCTAAAAGCAATTTTTGAGGAGAGTCTCCCTGATTCCTCACACCAACTATCACTGAAGATTTGGAATGCATTGGCTGAGACACTTCATCATGTTTCAGCATAGTTCAGGGCTCAGAGAGCAGCCCTGGAGATGCCAGTTGAGGAAATCAAGGTATAGGGTACAAGTTCCATGCCCACAATATGGATGGTGTCCACTTTGCCTTTCTGCCCACCTTGTTGCAGTAGTTGGTGTTCTTCAGTCTGGTCTCATGTCCTGCTCCCAGTCCTCCCCTAGACAAAGAGAAACCAAGAGAACTGCCTGTGACCAAGCTCTCTCTTTCTCCTGGCGACTTCTATAAGGTAGAATAGCAGAACATACTACATAGAGGCATAAATTCATACAGCACAGAAACAAACCCTTCAGTTCAACTCATCCACGCTGACCAGACATGCGAATCTGACCTAGTCCCATTTGCCAGCATTTGGCCCATATCCCTCTAAACCCTTCCTGTTCATGTACCCATTGAGATGCCTTTTAAATGTAATTGTACCTGCCTCCACCACTTCCTCTAACTCATTATATACATGCACCACCCTCTGCATGAAAAAGTTACCCCTCAAGTCCTTTGTAAATATTTGCCCTCTCACCTTAAACTTATGTCCTTTAGTTTTAGACTGTCCCACCCTAGGAAAAAGACCTTGACTGTTCACCATATCCATGCCCCTCATGATTTTATAAACCTCTGTAAGGTCACCCCTCAGTCTCCGATGATCCAGGGAAAAACGCCCAACTTTTTCAGCCGCTCCCTGTAGCTCAAACCCACTTTAATTTTCTTAACTGATGTTCTCAGAACAAATGTTGACAGAATGTTGGTGAAGTCTTTACAAACTGTCCCAAAAATTCACCCATGTGTTTTTAACCAGCAGCAAATGGACAGGGAGAGCTGTGCATTACTTTACATGACACAGAGTCTTCAGAAACAACTTGCTTATTTTTATTACAGCTGGTTGCTCAAAGGAGAGGGCATTAAATGCTATCAGTTGCTTCACAGCTGATGGCCATTCCTAGTTTGTCTTTCAACTCCATTTACTATAACCCTATGACATAAAGGTGAATGTGTTGAACTTCTAAGGACAAAACAATTTAAGGCTTTCAAAGGTTCTTAGTTTGAGACCCACCAGAGTCAAGTTTAGGGCATGTTGTGGTACAGTGGTAGTGTCCCTACCCTAGACCTAAGAGACCTGGGTTCAAGTCCCACCTGCTCCAGAGATATGCAATAACATCTCTGAACAGATTGATTAGAAAGATAGGTTACATAAAAAAAAACTCTTTTAACTAGAAGTATCTTGAGCCAAATTTAGGCTAAACTGGCTTTGCAGCATAAACCCCATTTTTGTCCATATTGGAAGCTCTTTGGTTCTTCAAGTATTTCAGGAAAATTGTCCCCTCTAGCCTTTATGCTGTGGTTCAATGTGTATGAACTGAAAAATAAGTCTTAATGTAAACCTTTTTTAAAAACTGAATCCCGTCAGGTGATTTTTTTTTAATGAAGAGTAATACATTTTGCATCTATATCTCTGTCATATTAGATAATGATTCTGAAAGGGCTAATGATAATATTACTTTGGCTCCAGCCATTCTACTGATATCACTAACAGTGTGTGGGAGGAGATAGAGTTCTACTCACGCTTTCAGAGGGTGTAGATAAATCTATCAGATGAAAACAAAATACTGTAGATACTGGAAATCCTAAGCAGAAACAGAAAATGCTGAGAAAACTCAGTCCTGCTGTTATCTCAGCTTGGTGTTTCTATCCAACACCCCCACCCCACTCCAACCCCAGGTCTTAAATATTATGCCTGACCAAATATAATTGTACTTATTGCAATCAAGCAATAACGTTATTATTTAAGAATAATGCCCCATCTGCAGATACTCTACAGTGGTATATCGTCTATGGTTAATCGCTAGACAGGCCCAAAATGACGCAAAGACAACAGTGAACTATCTCAAACACTTTTTATCCAGTGCCACATGCTGGTAGAGTTTGCACATACCACAAGTTACCATGAGTAGTCATCTGGGAAAGTACCTAAATCTCAAAGTGCAGTTCATCACAATTATATCATGTTTTACTTCTGGTGGGAAATTATTTTCTTTACTGCAAAACAACACATTTGGCAATTAGATAAAACAATATCACCATGCTTTACACACCAATACTACACCTGTAGTTGCATGTGGTAACTTTGAACAAACAGGAAAAAAAACACTCTTGACAGGAACTCACTAAGCTATATTTAGATGGTGTTAATGGCTTACAGTGGTTGCTGAAAAACTAGCATTATTTTGTTACAGTATCACCTGTATGATACTGTCAATGGTAACCTCATTCTTATACCTATTTATGATGTGTTCCTTTCTCAACATAAAAATATTTACACAATACAACTTCCAAGTTCAAGTGCGGAAATTCATTCTCACATAACTGGTATTTCCAATGTTTATTTTTAAGTTAAGACCCTGCTGCTGTCTGTCATGAAGAAGCGTATTCCACCGAGACAGACAGAGTAAGTTGGGTGCTTGAGTTCAAAGGACACGCCTGTTTTCTGTACGTTGTAGCTGTAACAGGAAACAGCTATTGTCGAACTTGTCAATTCGAGAGTGGTGTCATTGAGCAACCCGGGGAAAGACTTGTCGCTGAGATCAGCCAAGCACTTGTAGTAGTAGCTTTTATTGTTTTGGCTTTATAGCCAACCAGTTGGCTGTGGAGCTCGTACTTTAAATTTGATGATTTGAAAAGGCGCCCAATTCATTTTCTGGAGTTGGAAAAAAGAGAATACAGTGCCAGTTGAAATACTTCTGCTCTGTGAAAGCTCCGTGTTGAAAATTCAGGTTGTAAAAGCTTGACAAGTGGTATGAGCTTCATTTACAATGAACCAGACCAGCAGGTCGATTCAGAAGAATTTGATTTTTCTGCACTTTTTGATAATAGCCACGATGAAGACTTTGCCACAAGAGGTTTGTAAACATTTTGTATTTTTTTGATAAAATAGTTTTACAACCTAAATTTTTTTATCATTAAAAAACATCATCTTTGTAAGTTAAGTTTTGTCGTACCTAATACGAGAAGACGGGAACTGTAACAAGAAACACGTATCTGACCTATTTGTTGAAGAAGAGCGTTAGAAAATCACTCGTCTAAAAATAGAATTTCTTTGTATTTTACACATGGAAACTTAGGGAGTAGACTTTGATTAGCAATAATTAGATTATTGAGTTTAATTATATTAAGAAATCCCAACAAATCCAAAAAGTGTAGGTGATTACATTTATATCAAGCTGTGACTTTCAGATAAAGTAGATTAATTAAAGCTAAATGCGCTAGAATGTGGATGTGAGTCTGTTATTACAGTTCACTAAAGTGGTCACATTAACTTTTTGATGCAATGTTTCTTTCAAAATACGTTGTCTTGATTAACACAGTTCCTCACTGATGGGCACAGGCTGTATAGGAATGGCAGCTCAGTTTCATAATGGTCAGCAGTATTGGTTTTTACTTCTGGGAACAGTTTAGTTAAAATCTGAAGTTTGGGAATAAAGTTTGCATGAGGATACTATCTCTTTGGCTTGTTTATTTCATCAGCTGTCTATTCTGAGTAGAAGCAAATCTGAAAAATAAACTTGGTCAATTGAACAGTTTTAGTTATTTGTAGAATAGAATGGTTCAGGTTTGAAGAATATTAGATTTATATTATAAAGTTTTGTTAACATTTCATTAGAAATGAGTGTTTTCTTTTAAGAAGATTATTTATTTCCCTCAGGAGATTATGTTCTGAAAGTAAGTGAATGACCATTTAATAGAGGGTGTAGTGTACTCTCTGTCCATATTGAACTTGATACTTTATACTGTTAAATTTCTACTAAGCAGGTTGCAGATTGATAGTGAAGTCTGCTCTTCCAGTGTCAGAATGAAGCAGAGCCCTGGAAAATATTAATGAGATGTAAAACACCCTTAGAAATATGGGAGAATGAAGTTTAAAATAAATATCAATACTTGCTGACTTGTGTAATGTAAATTGGAAATCCTGCATCTGAACCCCTGTATTGATCTTTAAGGGCTTGAAGAGTAAGGTTGACTTCCATTCCCCAAATGTGACTTCAGACTATATTATCTAATAGAAACAAAATTACATGCTCAGATTGACTCTACTGCAAGCTATTTTTCTCATTTGTAACTTTGTTGAAATTACAAAATCAGAATAACACTCGTCAACATGACATAAATGCATTGTTTTTAGCTATAAAAACCAATGGAGTGAATTATAAATGCAATGAGATCAAACACTTGCTTATTTTGATGCCTGGTAGCATCTTAATAGAAAGTTGTGAATGTCCCAGTAATATAATTTGGAAAAATGTGTTGCTCTTGCCCTCTAATATCTCCTGTTCTCAACACAGACTCATAATGAGTTACAGTCCCTGAGTGAAAGCCATATCAACTCTAAATGAACATCGTTTGTGCATGAGCTAATTCATTGAGCAACAGCAGTATGTTGGAATTTAGGAACATCACCATGCTGTCTTGTCTAACTCCAATGCCATATGCATGCAAGATCCATGTGAGGGATACTGTAATATCCTTCCTATCTGCCTTCAGGAAAACCAAGGTTAACTCATTCAATGTAGGCAGATGATAGAAACTAGAATTTTTCTAGATTTTATTCATATCAGTTTCACACTAGTTTTCACCTGGACATTTTTTGATCCTAACCAGAATCTATGCATAAAGATCGGGTGCAGATTTCCTCCCTCTCCAGCCCTGGTCTACTAGATTTTTTTTTACTCATCTCTATAAAGTCTGTTATCCCAACAGCTCAAAGGCTAAAATATAGATGCTGAATTTTGTAGTCAGCAATGAAGCATTAATAGTTGCCACTGACTTGGAAAGAAGCCAAGGACAGACATCGAATGATCTCTCTGGTGTACATTTTACCTGCTCCCATAATCTCATCAGTAGTAATGACATTTTGCTGTTAACGACACAGTAAAACCTATACAAGAAAGCATGACCTGTGTAGGAAATGGATATAGAGAGGAGAGAATGGTGAAGTTTTCATCAGTTGAGTGATTACTAAAACTAATTGCCCTTGGGTCTTTAACAATGCAGCCTGTGGAGGATCAAGTAATCACTGAAAGAAACATCTCAATTCCCCCTTTTTAACTCTTAATGTATGATTGCAGTCAGTTCCATATTTATTCTAATGGTGAAGACTAACAGTTTAAATTCAAAATGAGGGTTGGTAACACCCTTCATTATGAACTTTTCTTTCAGCCTTGCTTAAATTTTCAGAGTCCTGAATTAGCACAACATTTTTTAAGATATGTTTTCAGACTAAGTTTTGTTCACATTTTCAAGTTACTAATTCAGGCCTGAGATTATAAGAGTGCTGTTTAACAGTTAGAAAATTATGGGTACCACTACTCAGTAGCCATTTACAAATTTATGAGCTGCACATTAATAACTTGGTGCTCCTTTCTATTTCAGAGGCAGAAAATGTTGCTGCTTCTCATAAAGGCATTGTTCATCCTTCTGGAATTGGTTATCCAACCATTGATGTCTCCCATTATGGATCTCAGTCATGTAGCTCTATGGCATCTGCAGTATTAAGTGGAGAACGTATGAGTGAATACAGTCAAGCAGAAAGCAGAGATTTCAAATGCTACCTAGAAGCTGTAAAACCCCCTGTTTCATCTGGAGTAGAAAGTCCAAGAATTGAGATCACACCATCCCCTGGACTGTTCCATGTAATTCCACATGCAGCTAGTTGTGGAGAGCAAACATATCATTCTCCCACTACAATTCCTAGAGTTACTTTACCTGTGCCAGGCTCAGAAAGTATTGTATATAGAGACCCACTCAGTCCTGCCAGTAGTGGCTCTTCCACAAGTTGGCATTCCTTTGTGTCTCACGAGTCCAGCTGTTCCCATTATGGCATGTCCCCTCAGACATCTCCATTAACATCTCCATGTGTCTCACCAAAGAATGGCTCAGAAGAATATCAAGGTCAGGGTGCTCACCATTCTCCACGAACATCACCTGTCAACTCACCATCCACTCACATTGAAAACTGGCCGGGTGCAAGGTCACCGTCCCCAACCCCCCGAACTTCTTCAAGGTCATCATCACCTTGTGGGAAGAGGAGGTACTCCTGTGACCGCTCAAGAACGCCTTCTCCACAAGCTTCACCAAGAGTTATTGCAATCGAAGAACCCAATTTGCACCAATTTTCAAATTCTGCAAGCCTGGCCGATGCCATGAGCACTCTCACCACCGATTCCAACAACGACTTAGGCGAAGTACTTCCGATAAAGGCTCGGATCATGGATCTTACTCCACCATCATCCCTTAAAACTGACATATGTAAAGATGAAAAACTTACTAGCTTTACCATAGCGAATTTTGTCGAGTTTTCAGGGCAGTGTCAGGATGTGAAGAAAGACATCTACAGTATTGATCCGCTTTTCCTGATGCCCCCTCATCCAATACATCGGACAAAACCCAAACCTCCCTGCAGGTAAGTTTTATTTTATATTCCATCCTAACGTCAAAAATCAAACAGAATTGATAGAAACACAGGAAATAGGTGCAGGAATAGGCCAATCAGCCCTTCGAGCCTGCTCCACCATTCAATATGAGCATGGCTGATCATGCAGTTTCAGCATCCCATTCCCGATTTCCCTCCAAACCTCTTCATCCTTTCAGCTCCATCTTGAATATATGTTTTCACTTGGGTTCTAACTAATGTCCTAAAAACTGCATATGATTTCTATTGATCTTCTATTGCAATTAAATCAAAATCTCTCAAGTCCACACACCAATTCAAATAGTGAGTGTGACAAAAATTATATTCTGAATTGATAGTGGTTTTTGAATGTAAGAAGGCCCATAGTTTAAAAATGGAGGTGAGGGCAGGCAATTATGAATCAAACAGAGATAATTACTACTGGTACATACTTAGACCAATGAATACTTTTACTCGTACATACCAGTGAGTAATTGATACAATAATATGCATTAACTTAATTGGTGTAATCAACTGATCGCGTCCATATCTTTACTGTGAGAGTGAACTGGTCCTATCAATCTTTCTACAATATCACATTCCAAAGTACCAGATGGTGGCAACACATTGATTAACGTTAACATAAAGCTTCACTCAGTTAAACCTAACTTTAAAAATCTTAACCTTGATGTAATAGCAGGAGTATTATTCCACGGTTACTGGTGCATAATCATTATACTTCACCTTTTTGTCTTTTTTTTAGCTGAATGCTGGAATTGTGGTGATTCTGCAAAAGGAATGTTAATCAAAATAAACATCTAATGTAACATAGAACATCACTAGAAAGTGAGAATTCTTAACTGATTATTGTAGCAACTGTCTTGAGTGTGGCTCCGGCTTTATAAAATGATCTTTGATCCCATTGTCACCACATTAAGGAATCATAGACATAACTCGATCTTCAATAACTAATACTTCAACTGTCCATTCATCACAAACATACCAGGGATAGCCCATATTGTGCTTAGAGAAGGAACTCATAGTAAGGGTTATTCACTGTAACTGCAGATAAGATATGAATTCAGTACTTCACTGTAACAAGTGCAAGACCTGACTGGCAATGAAAATAGAAAATTTTGGAAATATTCAGCAGGTCTGACAGCATCAGTGAAGGGCAAAACAGATTTCATTTCGAGTCTGACAGAAGGTCCTTGACCTACAACATTATGGACTGGAATTTCCCCTGGAGATAGGAATCAAGAGGTGGGACCAATCCCATATGATATTCCCGCCTCTGCCTTCAGTCTGCTGTGAAGTGTGATTCACTGGGTCAGGGTCTTTGTGACATTAGTGATGAGATTTCTGTCCGATTAGTGGGAGTGGGGATGGGGGAGGATTAGGTGGGGTTGTGGTTCGAGAGGGGGTTTTCCATCAGGGATGGAAGTGAGACACCAGGGAAGCAGACCACTTTCTGACTGGAATTGGTAGCCATTGCTGCAGCTATCTGCTCTGAGTGGATCTTCACCTTCAAAGTGGCTGGGACAAATGGACATCTGGGACATGGGATAGGCAGGAAAATGTTTGTTATTACTTTTTAATTGGAGCTACATTTTTTTTGGTCCAAATTTGCACACTTTTTCATCAAGTAAACTGTTTAAGTGCTGCCATCTCCGATCCCAGCTAATCAGCTTCCTGGAGCACCTAGCAGCTATCTGTTGCCATCTTGAGAAGTCTCAAATTGAGCTCTTAACAAAGTTCTTGTTGGTAGCTCAGTATTCTGTCTGCCTCCCCGCTATCTCCACTGTCCTGAGGAAAGTCAGCAATAATATTTGAGGGTGACAGATGAACATGCAAGTTGCCAGAGACACTTCCTTTGCTGTCTGGCCATAATTCTGTTTATCTTGTTACCAGACCTGCCGAATACTTACCAGCATTTTCTGTTTTGTTCTCAGGTTTCTGACATTGATAGTTTTTTTGTTTTAGTTAGTTACAACTTTTGTTTGCTTATGTTAGTTACAACAACAAACTCACTAACAAAATCATTTATGTAGTCCTTTTACCTAATTAAGGGTGTTTTACAGTAGCATTATAAACCTAAATATGAAACAGAGCCTCTAATGAAATGTTAGGTCAGATGCTGAAAAGCTTGGCCAGAGAGTCTACTTAAGGAAATGCTTTAAAGGAGGAAAGTGAGGTAGAGAGATAGACATGTAGGAAGGGAATTTCAGACCCTAGGGCGAAGGGAACTGAAGGCAGAACTGAATTCTGGGGCAACAATCAGGAATGTACAAGTGACTGGAATTAGAAGAGCACAGATAATGAAGATTTGAGAGATTGGAGAATATTACAGCGTTAGAGGGGCATGGCCGTGAAGGTATTTAAAAGCAAGAATGAGAATTTTAAAATCAAGATGTTATTTGAGCAGAAGCCAGTGTAGGTCAGTGAGCACATGGTGATAGAGGAGTGGGATTTGCGCAAGTTAAGATACGGGCATTAGAGTTTTGGCTCATGTCAAGTTTACAGAATATGGAATGAATAAGGAGTCTACTGGAATGTCAAGTCTGTATTTAATGCAGACATGAATGAGGGTATCAGCAGTGGATGAATTGAGACAGTAGTGAAGTAAAGTGAACTTGCAGATGTAGAAACAACTATCTTAATGAGAATGAAGTCAGAATGTAATTTTGGGATTGAATGTAATACCAAAATTGCAAATGCTGACTGATTCTCAAACTGTTTCCAAAGATATGGAGTCAGTAGCTTGGGATGGTGTTTGGAGTGGGGATCAAAAGCAATGTCTTCTCAGTATTTAACTGGGAGAAATTTGTGCTTATTTAGTGCTAGATGTCAGATATGCTGACAAATTATTTAGCAACAATTGAGGATTTGGGGTAAGTGATCATGATTAAAGTTGGGTTTTGTCACACATGTAAGAAACCAACATTCGATGATGTTGCCAAGGAATATTGTGTAAGTGAAGAAAAGAGGAGAGATAGATGGTAGGGGACACTAAAGGCAATAGAGCATAAGCAGGAAGAGAAGCCATTGCAAGTAATTCTTTGGCTATTATCAGCAAGATAGGAATGGAAGCAAGTGATAGCTGTTCCACCCAGGTAGAAAAGAGTGATTGGAGATGATGGTGTGATCCCACCATGTAATCAGAAATTGCAGACCTGTCGAGAAGGACGAGGAGGGGAGGTTTATGTTTGTCACACATTGTCATATTTGATTGTGGTAAGAGCTGTTTTGATACTGTGGCTGGGTGAAAACAATGTTGGAGAGATTCAAACATGGTGTTCTACAGAAAAATGGGAATGGATTTGGAGCCAACAAAACATTTAATGATGTTGTAAAGGAAAAGGAGATTGGAGACGGGGCAGTAGCTTGCAAACTTATAGGTGTAATTAAAGGTTGTTTATATGATCAGCTAATGTAGGGATCGGAGTGGAAAATGGATGAACAGCCTTTTAACTTTAATGGGATTGAAGGAATAGGAGGTGAGTCACATCAATAAGGTGAACTCAGAGAAGGCAAAATATTAGGCAAGAACTAAATGAAGACTTTTGTTTTACGAAGGTACTTAAATTGCACAATTAACTGAATTTTACAAATTAGCTAGTATTTGTAGGCTTTTATCTTTGAAAGACTTTAAATATTCAAAAAGAATATATGGCTCTTTTGGATTTTTTTAATCAAATGCTGCTTTTAACATTTAAGCATTTACTGACAGGAAGGAATGGATAGTGTAAAGAGACATCAAAGCTATTTTGAAAATATTTCCACCATGCAGCAACATATTAGGTAGCATTTCTCTTGCTTCTGCTGATACAATAGTTTTTGAAAAATACAATTATGAAGCATGTTAGCCTTCACAATTATGGGCCAGCCCTAACAGAGGATTTAAACACATATTTCAGAAAACCTCTGAATTTTCCAGCTCAGCAAGTCTTCTTAATTAGCATTCATTGGTATTCAAATTAGATCCATTTTTATCCAAGATTCTACCCTCCCCACCTATATTAAAGAGACTAAAAACAGCCACTGTGGTACTTGTAATATTTACATTAGTATTCATTTATTTAAATTGTTGGAATGCGAAAGGTTCATGAGATTGTTAAGAGTGACATAGTTGTAAACTTCAGTGAAAAATACACGACCCATGCTGATTAGATGTGCTGTATTTTGTTTGAAGACTGTCCTCCAATTTTGTGAAGCGTTAAACAGGGTGCAAACATTGCAATTTTGGAGCTGTAATGCTTGTCAGCTATGGCTGAGTGATTGCACACTTGTCTCTGAATCAGAAGGTCATATGTTCAAGTTCCACACCAGATAATTGAGCACTTAAATTTGGCTGACACTCCGTTACAATACTGAGGGAGTGCTGCACTAATGTAGGAACCATCTTTCAGATGAGATATTAAACCAAAGATCTGTCTGCTGTCTCAGGTGGATCCAATGATGGATACATCTCTGAACAGGTTGACTGGAAAATATCAAAAGCTGAGAAATTCATTCTGGCCAAGGTTTCTCATTCAATGAACATTTCTGAAGAAGGGCCCTGACCCAAAATGTCAGCTTTCCTGCTCCTCTGATGCTGCCTGGCCTGCTCAACACTGTGTTATCTCTGACTCCAGCATTGGCAGTTCTTACTATCTTGCCTTGAATACTTTACCTTGTCGTTTATATCATTGCTATTTATAGGCATTTGCAGTGCATAAACTGGTTGCTGCGTTTCCTACTTTTCCTGTGCTGGTTAGGTCTCAGCTGGAGTACTCTGTTCAGTTTTGGATATCATATTTTAGCAGGATGTAAGGCTGGAGTGTTCTGTTCAGTTTTGGATACCATATTTAAGCAAGGCATTAAAGAGGGAGCAAAAGTGATTTATTCAAACTTTACCATGGGAAAAGGGACTTTAGCTATGTGGAGAAATTGGGGAAAGTGAATTTACTCTGGTTAGAGCAACAAGCATTAAGGAGACTTGAGAGTTTGACGGAATAAGTTACAGAGAAACTGTTTCCAGAGGCAAAAGTATCTGTAATTGGAGGACACAAGTTTAGGATGATTGGCATAGGATGATTGGAAAAGAAAATTTCTGTAATGAGTTGTTATGATATGGAGTGGGCTGCCTGAAAGAGTGATGGAAGTAGTTTCAATAAAACTTTCAAAAGAGAATTGGTGAAGAGAATGGGAAAACAATAAAAACAAATCTGGAGAATGTTGGAGAAACTCAACAGGTCTGGCAGCATCTGTGGATGAAGAAACAAAGTTTCAATTCTGGTGTGACTCCTCTTCAGAACGCTGTGAGCATGGGGAAAAGAGCAGGGAAGTGGAATTAATTCTGTAGTTCGAGTAAAAGGCCAACACAGGCATGATGGAATGTTTCTGTTCTGTGTCATTAAGATTCCAGGATAACAACAATTATTCAACCTCAAAAGCACTCCCCTGGATGTGAAGCATTTTTGGATGGCCTGACTCCATAAAGGCATTTTATAAATGCAAGTCATTCTTTTTTAGAAGCTACATAAACTTGAGATTGCCATCTCGTTCTGCCATTGCAAACTTGCAAACTTATAATGACAAATACATCACTTGTGTTGGGATTCCAGAATTTTGAGTTCCACATAATAACAAGAATGACATTCATCTACAGGTGTGGCAATATTAACAGCTGTCCCATATCCATCTCCTTGCAAGGATGTTTCACCACTTTAAACCTAAAAGTTAACATCAATACAAAAGTTAACAATGATTGTGTTCATCATTCACACACATAGTCAAACCTATTGCTGAACTGTTAATTCTGAGATTATATCGTGGATCTTGACACAAAGATAATCAGCCTATCCCGATTCGTAAAATTCTTGATGAGAGTAGAGATAGCAAGAACTGCAGATGCTGGGGTCAGAGACAACACAGTGTGGAGCTGGAGTAACACAGCAAGTCAGGCAGCATCAGAGGAGCAGGAAAGTTGACGTTTCAGGGTGAGACGCGAAACGTCAACTTTTCTGCTCCTCTGATGCTGCCTGACCTGCTGTGCTCCTCCAGCTCCACACTGTGTTATCTTGGCGAGAATAGGTATGATTTATCTTTGGCTATCAATGGGTAGAGACTTGCACCAAAACTTTCTTCTGCTTTAGGTCAGTACTATTTTTACTGCAGGTGTCTTTAAATAAATTCAGGATTCATTTCACATTGAGGCCAAATTAATCAATTGTATTGGGATTAACATTGATCCTCTGTTTGTTGGATAGAAAAGAAGTTAAAATATCTCTAAAGCACAACTGCATTTAATATAACAGTAATGGGAATAAAAAGTGGGGCTATGATATAATTGGATGTAAGAGAGATCATGCTATATCTGGGTTTAACATCCTGATGCTTATAATTCACTAAATTGAAACACAATATAACAAGACAATGATTTTATGAAACAAAGAAGAAGTGTGGATGCTGAAGCTTTAAAACTAAATCAGAAGTTGCTGGAGAGATGCAGCAGGTCTGCCTGTATTGGTGGAGAGAAAACAGAGTTAACATTTTGAGTTCTTCAGGACTCTGTTCTAAACTGCTCTGAAGAAGGGTCACTGGACTCAAAACATTAACTCTGCTTTGTCTTCACAGATGGTGTCAGACCTGCTGAGTTTTTCCAGCAATTTCTGGTTTCGTTTAAGATGATTTTGCCTATTCAAAGCAGGTCCTAACATTGGTTGAAGAAAATCTCACAAGAGTTTTTGCTATTGAGTCAAATGGTGAAGTAGATGGGGAAGTGAATTTGAAAAGAGAAATGACGGAATGTAAAACAGGAAGCATTCAACCCAAAAAGATTGTTTTAATGTAACTTGTGATAACACAATGCATCCATACAAGATGTGGGCTATTTTAAAGAGAAATCACAGTTCCTCCTAAATATGTGAATCACAGAGTACATATATCATGGTTCAGGGATATTAGAACAATATGACCTGATCCTGTGTAAAACAGTGTGATATATTTTTAGATACAACCTGACAATAATACTTTACAATGTTTTCAAAATAATCTGCCAATAATGCTTCAGTATAAATTCAAAATAGAAGTCATATTATTTTAAGTATATATGTTATTGCATTGGGTTTTGAGATTGTGTTGCCTAAAAAAAAGTAGTTTTCGTTAGATGTTTGACTCTTTAAATGTCTCTCATAAGTCCAGCATTTTCCTCCTTATGGATCTTGATGTAGGTGCTAGCTAGATAATGGGAAGGTGAGTGACTTGCTCCGATTACCTGTTTTGTTCTATTGTTTGTATCTAAAAGCACATAACAGCAAATGATTTTTCATATTAAAAAAAATGTCATGTCTACCCAGATGTCAGCCCTTTCCAACCTGTCATTTAGCTGAAACTTCCTGTGTGAGGCCCTGTTTCAGATCGACATTGTGTCAATCTGCAAAATAGCATCTGACAATCTCAATACATTACACAACTGACACACCCAGATGGATCTTATAAAATAATTCTCTTTGATTTTTAAAAAGTCACTTTTATTGTTTAAGCCTTGATTTTTAAATTGACTATACACACTGGTTATGAAGTAACAGCAATTTTTAAAAATGTGATCATGCACATATGAGTTATAAAAGCCTTATTCTGACTTTGGGAGTTCATCACCTGCAATTTTCCCATGAGATATTCTGTTCCTGTTACAGTTACATGGTTTCTGTTAGAATTTTAGCATATCTCTGTGTTCATTCTGATAACCTTTTGTTCTCACTTTATATTGTGAGTTTCATGTGTGAAGTTGAACAGAGGAATGATATGACAATTCACACATGGTGCTGAAAAATTATTTTGATTCACAGCTTTGATTTAATTAATTTTGTCTAGTAATCTCTATTTATTTGGTGTGTCCAGTGGGTCATTTTCCTGGGTATCAAGTGTCAGTCAATCACATTCTATACAATTTTTTTGCTGTGTTTCCCATATTACAGCAGTGACTAAAGTTCACAGTACTTCATTGGCCATGAAGAATTTGAAATGACATGATGTTGTTCTTCCTTTACATGGTATTTCACTATAGTCCAAGCAATGTGAAGTTATAACACACAGACAGTGGAAATTTCTGTGTGGTTAAAATTTAACTTATTTCAATTTCTTAAAACAAAAATCTGGTTATAACCTCCCAATAATTTTGAACACTGGATTTTCTTCTAAGTTTACAAGAAGTTGATCCCACAATATCTCATCTCTAACTGGCATTTGTAAAAATTCTGCTGCATTCCTCCTCTATCACCTATAATGCACAACCTTACCTGCACCATTCCCAGATGACTTTACCACATCGTGTCACATTTCCAGGCTATGAGCTATACCAAAGAACATGAACTGATTTTGCAGATACAAGTTTAAATAAAGATCATGTGATTTTGTACAGGTTTCCTACTGTCCCTTAGGTGCAATGTCCATGTTGCTACATTTTCAATTGAGAACTGCAAGAAAATGTAGAATAACTGCATAGCTGGTTGGGGAAATAAAATCCTGTTTCTTTCAAACTGTAAGAACCAGACAATACACCCTCTGTATTGCAGGAGACCCAAATATTGTACAGTACTGTACTTCTCCTCATGCACTGCAGTCCTGGAATTTATATATGTTCCTAGGTTGTTAGGGACAAGCCAAGGGCAAGACTCTTCTCTCAGAGGGTATCACAAAAATTAGAATGCAAATGCACTTCATAGCAAAATATTTTTCATCCTTTGCTAAAGGACAGGATAAAATCAATACAGGAATATGAAAGAAGAAATTAACAGAACTTCATATGTATTTTCTAAGTGTTGGAACGTATATTTGTTTGATAAATTGCAAAAAACAATAAAATAGTTCCCACTGTTTTGTTCTCCGACAGCATCCCGTCTCTTCCTCCTTTGGAGTGGCAGCTGCTGAGTTCATCAGAACCATATGAATTGAAGATTGAGATACAGCCCAAGCCTCACCATCGGGCACACTATGAAACAGAAGGCAGTCGCGGCGCAGTTAAAGCTCCTAATGGGAGCCACCCTGTAGTCCAGGTAACCTATTCAATTAGGAAAGGCGATTTCACTTACAACTAGGATTATAGACTATTTTGTCTAAGCATAAGATTTGCAGATTCAAGGTCTAAGCAAATACTATTCTTGTGCTTATTTTTAAGAAGTTTTCATTCCTCAATTTTGATACTTTTGCAGCTCCAGAGAACCTTTTAAGTACATTTTGATCAATTAATTGTCTATATCTGTCTTTAACAAAGTCTTTCGTAGTTTAGCACTGTATTCTGTTCTCAGAATTCCTGTAATGCATTGATCTAAGACATGTTTTGATTCCTCAAGCATTAACAGGTTTTCCATTAGTTCTGTTTTTCTTTTGTTTATACCCTGAAGTGCTCTTACACACAACTGAACATTTTTTTCCCATCACCAAATCACTCGTGAAATTATCTTTTAGCCATTGAGCACCACAAGTAAATCACCTGTGTTTTCCAATTGATTATTTTACGTGCAAAACCCATAAAAGGCAATGCAGACCATAAAAGGTGAGAGAGAGAGAGGAGGTTCACTCAGTTCATTAGGAGATCATTCTCATCAGCTGATAAACATGAGTTGAGTGGTTAATTATTGAGGGAGGGACAAGATTTTCACTACCATAAGAACACCTGAAGTGCAAGCAATACAGCTTTTAGCAGGACTTTTAAATAGTGACAGATTATGCCTATCTGAAATATTAATTGTAGAACCTTATTCAAACAAACTTCATTCATTTGTACCAGGTAATATAAACAGCCTTAACAGCAGTCCTTTTTGAGACCATTCTGGAAAAGGTCCAGAAACCTGTTTGAGCCAGGATATATTTTCAGGCCATGGTATTGAGCACTCAACAACTGCCTGGATTAATTTGATGCTGGCTTTAAAGAATTAATGTAGCAGCATCATTGACTAATAATCAGCTTGAATTAGGATTATAAAAATTCAGCCCACCCCCAATACTTTGCCATCTTTTCCAACATGAACCTATATTGCTGTGTTTCTTCTAATTTTTGGTGCTGGTTTTCCACTGATGGAAACACAGAAAAGTTAAAAAGAAACATTGGGACCATTGAAAAATTCATGGTGCTTTTCAATGGCCTACAACGTGACCACGATTATTTTTTCTAGAAATCTCTTATTTAGAGTTTTAGGGAAGTTCAGAATTAAACACTAAGTTAGCTGCTCCTGATATTTGTTAACACTTTAAAACTCTTGATTGGCTCAAGAATGTCTTACATTTTGGTATCCACTTCGGAATCCTGGCTAGAGTTGATGGGGGAAAACAATATTACGTCGTGAAAATCCATCTATTACTCCTTGTGGTTTGTAAGTATCACTCTTCCCAGTGTTTTATGCAGGATAAAGCCTCTTAATATATTCCTTAGCTGTAAACCTCACAATAGATGCTTGGATAACAATGAGATAGTATCATCTTACTAGACATTGATATGATCACTTCTCATAGATTCATACAGTTATAAAGCATGGAAGCAGACCCTTCAGTCCAACTCATCCATGCTGACCAGATATCCTAAACTGATTTAGTCCCATTTTCCAGTGTTTGGCCTATAATCCTCTAAACTCTTCCTATTCATATACCCATCCAGATGTCTTTTAAATGTTGTAATTGTACCAGCCTCTTCCATTTCCACTGGCAGCTCATTCCATACACACACCACCCACTGCAAGAAAAAGTTGCTTCTTAGGTCCCTGTTAAATCTTTCCCCTCTCACCTTAAACTATGATCTCTAGTTTTGGATTCCACTGCCCTAGGAAAAAGACCTTGGCTATTCACCCAATCCATGCCCCTTATGATTTTTTCATGCTTCTGAGATTTACCAGCAAATTTAGATTGTGCTGTAGACTTAATTTAGGCTGGAGCTGCAATGAGGTGACATGTTGGGGAGGGAAGTTTACCAGGTGTATGATAATGAGATCTGGCCCTCAATACGAATTGTACCTCCCACTGCACAAGACAGGTGGCTGCCTTGGAGCTAAAATCCCCTTATTCTTTTTCCATGAAACATCCAGTTGCTAATCTAATCTGATCTAATTTGCCAATGTATCTATTATTGTTCAAACACACCTTGAGACTTACACTACTTTCACCAATCCCTAAATATAAATGATCTAAAATGAAATTCTCTCAATAACACAACATTCTCATGGTTACTTGATGTGAACAACTAATTTTTGCATAGTATTTGGTTGCCCGCATATTTTTTTTGCATGTGTGCTGAACACGAGCTGCGTTCACATCCTTTGACTGAGATCTGTGGTTTTTTTTCATCTTGATGCTTCTTCCTCTATTTTTTAGATCTGGCCAGAAGTCACAGAATTTGCAAACATGCATCCTCTTGAACAGTCCAGTATTTGTTTTAAAGGACTGAAACAATTGTCACCATTCACCTTGCATTTATTTAACTTTACAATTAGTACTTAGGGAATAGATATTATTCAATTTTAAGATTCAAGGAGAGAAGTATTGATTTAATATCCGTCACATTTTTAAATGATGAATGGGCGTCAACGAGTGTCACATTTCCTGGTACGGTAATGCTAGTGTGGCTCAGACACTTGTATTTATGTAGCATTGTAGTGAGGGGGAGGGTGATAAAACTACGTGATGGTAGAGGAGAGAGTAGGAACTGCAGATGCTGGAGAAGTTATTTGTTAAAGGGCAATGAACCAAAATCAGAAGCATGCTCAGGAGCAAAGCATATGTAAACATTCAAATGTGCCCACAAGGAATGATATGCAAAGTGATTTATAAATGGAGTACATTCATTTAACTTTAAATAACAGACAACTCCCTTTCAAATTTTTACCTTGTTAGTTGCTTAACAGCTATCAGGGGAGAAAAGAGCACAGGTCTTACCATTATAACATTCAGTTGATAATACAAAACAGTCCTAACTTTATATTAAATAGCTGTGTCATTTAAGGTTTCTTTAAAGAAACCAATTGCAACAGCTACCTACATTCATATTGGGCTTTTATCACAATAAAGCATCCTAAGGCTTGTCACAGGAGTGGAATGAGCTGGAGCCAGACGTTGAGCCTAAGGAGGAAAGCTGCCAAAATTGTGTAGGAGCCATTTGTTTTTGGGATCTCCTTGAGGAATGAGAGAGAGGTGGTGAGGCTTCAGGAGTGAATTTGAGACCTGAAGGCCTGGATGACCTGGAATATGTGTGTAAGCCTATGATGTATTGAAATCTATAATGTTCTGACTCAAAGCTAAGGCTGTTAGAAGTTTGGCTCAGTTGCCACTCAAAACCCAAATTTAGAAATAGAAACATAGATTTATTTCTTCCTCCACCTCATAAAATAATGACATCATCTGTGCGAATGATACAAAGATTGCCTGGGTTTTTGACAATGAGGAGGAAGGTGTTCGGTTACAGTACAATATAAATGGATTGGTCAGATGAACAGATTAGTGGCAGGTGGAATTTAATTCTGATAAAGGTGCGGTGATGCACTTTGGAAGAAGCAACAAGACAAGGGAGCACTCAGTGATTGGCAGGATACCAGGAAAGTCAGAGGAACTGAGGGATCTTGGACTGCTTGTCCACAGATCTCTGATGGTGGCAAAACAGGTTAATAGGGTTGATAAGGCATAAGGGGCATTTGTCTTTATCAGTCACGGCATAGATTATAAGAAGCAGGGAAGTCATGTTGGAGCTGCGGAGAACTATGGTTCACCCACAGCTGGAGTAGTGTGTACAGTTCTTGTCACCACACTATAGGAAAGATGTGATTGTACCGGAGGAGATGCAAAGGAGATTCACCAGGATTTTGCCTGGGATGGAGCATTTCAGCTATGGAGGGAGGCTGGGTAGGCTTGGGTTGTTTTCTTTGCAGTATTGAAGGTTGAAGAGGGACGGGGTAGAGGTATTTAAGATTATGAGGGGCATGGACAGGGTGAATAGAAAGCAACTGTTTCCCTTAGTTGAAGAGTCAGTAATGAGAGGGCAAAATTTTAAAATGAAAGGCAGGAGGTTTAGAGGGATTTTGAGGAAGAATATTTTCACCCAAATGGTGCTAGAGTCTGGAATGCACTTCCTGGGAGTGTAATTGAGGCGATATCTCATAACCTTTAAAGGTACTTGGATGAGCACTTGAAGTGTCATAATGTTCAAAGCTATGGGCCTAGTGCGGGAAAGTGGAATGGAGTAGATATATTTTTTTGTAGTACAGAACATGATGGGCCGAAGGGCGTCTTCTGTACTGTATGATTCTATGATTGTATGAAAGAACATTCTGACTAATGGTGTATATCAATTCTTTCAATGCACAAACTAACCGAAGACAGCAGTGAGAAAAGTTACATTAGTAAAAGATTGTGATGTAGATGTATTTTCAACATTTTTATGGCTAATTTGTTTTACTTATATTTCTGTTGTCCATTTTTCTGTTTATTTCCTTCCCTGAAACCAGTGTTGTGCTGGAATATCCTTCAGTGTGAAATTAGCAGGGTTAGAAATAGACATCTTGAGTAGTGCCGTCCTTGTCACTGACATCATAAAACATCAACAGGTGGTGAGATGCTAACAATACTCATAACTCAGCCCAGTAAACTGGCCCAAATTTGGCTATACTTGACCACAAACCTAACTCATCAATGAAGCACCGAAAACAGTTTTGAATTTGAAAGAAAAAGTAATTGAAGTGCAGGCGCTATTCATGCCTGGCAGTCACAAAGGCTTTCTGAGATCTTGTAATTTTGGTTTTTAAACATTTATAAAATTGCTGGACATTACATTGCAAGTATTGCATCTGCATCTATACATTTTGTCATTGTGCTCATTGTCTCTCAACGCACACACCACCATGGACTGCGTTAGGGTAACTAACTTATTCGTGATTACCAAGTGAGGCATGGTCAACTGATTGTTTTCTAAAGCATCACTATAATTGATGAAAGCCCCTTCTTGCCTGGCCGTGCGAATCACAGCTGTCTTGTGAATTTACAAGAATCTTAGATCTTTGTCCTGTTCTTTTCATTT